AACAGGACACATGCCCATTTTGCCAAAAGGGGACAACCAGGACCAGGCTTAGCAAAGGGGCTGCACATCCACAACGGGACATCTGGTTGCCCTAATTCAAAAGGGATTTGAACTTTTTTTAACCAGCTGCATCAGCCTGAGGCTACGTCTATACTACATGGCTCCATCGACGGAGCCATGTAGTAGAGACACAGCCTGACTGTTCAGAACTGACCACACCTCTGTTCCCAACTCTCCCTGCAGGGGGCGCCGGGTGCAAACTCTGCCCCAGGGACTGGCTGCTGCGTGGGGACAAGTGCTATTGGCTGTCAAAAGGGCCTAACACCTGGGCTGGGAGCCAGGACGACTGCTTGGGGAAGAGCTCACGACTGCTCGTGCTCCAGAGCCAGGAGATGCTGGTAACTCACAACACAGACCCGTAACATTCCAGCTAGAGAGAGACGTGTGCAGGGTTTATCCAACCTGGCTCTTGCTCTCTCCACCCCCCTTTTCTCCTCCCCTATTTCTCCTTTTCCCCCCAGTCAAATTTCACACTAGGGGTTTCTCCCCTGCTGGGCACCTAGCTGATGAACATACGGCTTGGAACCTGAACCCCACAGCTTCCCGCCCCACACTGCCAGCTGTCTCCATGCATGTACAGAGAGCCATATTCCCCTGCCCCTGGGCTAGGACCCTGTACACTTAGGCGTGAGAGTGAATTAGCTCAGGTGTGGATGGGTTCTCCTGCTGTCAGCCTGGACAGAGCCAAGAGCAGATAATAAATACAGGAGATCTAAGGGAATTTTAGCCTGTTCACAGCCTATTCACGCCTCCCCCTCTGCTTGCCCCTCACAGGACTCCTTACAGAACGTTACACAAGATACGAACCCTGTCTGGATTGGACTTAAAGTGACACCCCCTAAGGGGAAATGGACCTGGGTGGACGGTTCCCCATTAGACCCAGTGCGGTGAGTGCTGCCTTGTATTTCCTGTTTGAGATATTTGGGAAAGGCTTCCTCTGTCTGACATGCTGCTGTTAAATACACATTTAAGGCCTGGCCTGTACCTAGATGTGTTACCAGCAGTGACATTGGTTCAGGGCGTTTCTGCTGCACCATCACAAGCCCTAGTACTGCAGCCACTCTACCAATGTAGCTGGGCTGCTAGAAGGGCAGTTCATGAGCCTTAGGGGCACTGGCATAAGCTGCAGGGGTGGAAGAAGCTCTTACATGTGGCTAAAGCAGTATCTGCACTAGGAGGTCTCCACTTATCTGCACCAGAAACACCTCCTGGTGTGGACAAGGCCTGATGTGCTGATCTGGCTCCAGGGCCATCTGTAGGGGGATGCAGGGCCTGGGGCAGCCCCCCACCTCTCCCACAGGCCTTGCTTCTACTCTATGCACACCCTGCCACCCACCACCCCTTCCCTCAAGCCTTGCCTCTGCTCCATCCCTGCCATTACACAAGCTGGGCAGCTCTAGGGGGCCTCGGAGCAACCAAGGTCATCCCTCCTTCCCTTGCACTTACCACAGCAGTGGGAGCCAGAGCAGCCTAGCAGCCTGATCACACCCCACCACTGGAGTTCACCCACTGCCCATCATAACTCTGCATGCAGTGTTGCCACACATTTTAACAGGGCACTGAGGATCAGCAAATGCTGAGTTTCCAATTCAACCTCACAAGGCAGAGTCCTGTGAAAGGGGTGAGCTAGGGGTACTGGCTGTCTCACGGGCCAGCTGGCTCAGGGCTCACAGGTGAGTTTGGCAGAGGAACAGCATCATGCTGGAGCTTAGGCCGCTGGCAACCCAGAGGAGGTGGCAGCACATGCCAAGAGGCAGCCACACAGGTGCTCAGGAAACCAGCCCTGTGAACACTGAGCGAGTTCTGGCACCTCCAGGGTTTGGTGGCAGCTGAGCTGGGATTTGGTGAGTCCCAGGGGGATGTGAGTCTAAGACGGGTGGGGAATCTAAAGCCCCAAGTGGCCTGTATCTGGCCTCTGAGGCTTAGAGCCTCTGCCAGCATTGGGGAGTCCGTGCTGGGACTCCAGCTGCCCCTCTGCAGCCCCCAACCCAAATAAGGTTCCCCACCCCAGTCTAGGGGCCATTAGGCTCTTAAGTCCCTTAGTGAATCCAGCCCTCACCATTCATCTGGACCAGCCCTGCAGCCACCACTTACCCAAGTCACAGGGCCTCCACTGACCCCAGGGGATTCAGTCTAGTTTGCTCCTTGCCAGAGACCCCCTAACCCACTTCCCTCCTGGGCTGTCGGTTTGACTGACGTGCCACAGGGACGTGACAGATGAAGGGCAACAGCAGAGCCAAGCTCCCCAGCAGAGAGAAGGGAGGAAAGACCCAACCCGGGGTACCCCAGTGACACGGACTCACTTCCATTCTGCAGTTTCCCCGTCTCCGGCCCTGTGGACGGGAACAGCTGTGGGAGCATAAAAGGCAGCCGGCTTCATTCGGAGACGTGTGGTGCTGAGTTCAACTGGATCTGCCAGAAAGAAGCTGCCGTGGTATAAATACTGGGACCAAGGAGCCGTATTTTTCTCTCTGTAACATGCAGCAGCCTGGATTCAGGCTCAGGGTGGTAGGTTGGGAAACTGTCTCTTTAGGCAGAGCTCTGAGCAGGGTGCCCCTCACAGTCACACTCCCCCCAGGCCATGCAGATCCAGCGGTCACGCTGCAGGGTAGCAATAGACTCACCCTGAATCCCGAGTCTCTTGAACATCCCCTGCAGTTTCTCACCCCTGGCCCACGGGACACTCCCACTGGTCACCCAGATGCTCCTTCCAAAGTCATACTGCTCCTGCCCCCGCTGTATGAGCACCCCCTCAGCTCCCTGCTCCACTCCAACTCACTGCTTAGAGTGAACGTCCCTGGTGCCCTCGAATGTCAGTGGATTTAGCCCAGCAGAGAGGTTCACGTACTGGCAATGGTAGAAACACTGGAAACAAATGGATCCACAGGAAATCATCACACATACTCTGGGGCTCTCTCTCAGCTAATAAAATACTCTCCTGCCCAACTAAGCACTGATCACCTTAAACCCGGACATTTTCTAGCTGCTCATGCTGTGACCCTGCCACACACAGGCCTGGTTCCAGTTTGCCACTGAGGCTATGTCTAGACTGCAAGCCTCTTTCGAAAGAGAGCGTCTAGACTGCACGTTGAACTTTCGAAAAAGCGGCTTGCTTTTTCGAAAGAAAGCATCCAGTGAGTCTGGATGCTCTCTTTCGAAGAAGCCCTATTTACATTGAAGAACGCCTTCTTTCGAAAGAGGAACTTTCGAAAGAAGGCGTTCTTCCTCGTGAAATGAGGTTTACCGCCATCGAAAGAAAAGCCGCGTTCTTTCGATTTAATTTCGAAAGAACGCGGCTTGAGTCTGGACGCAGGTGAGGTTTTTTCGAAAAAAGGCTACTTTTTTCGAAAAAACCCCTGAGTCTGGACACAGCCTGAGATGAGAGATCCAGGATCTCTTTTTTCACTCCCAATCCAGAGCAGACAAACCCTTTGTCTTTCTTCTTAAACTGCTCCTCTCCCCCGCTTTTTGTTTCTTCCTATAGTGTAGGTTCTCCGGCTCAGATTTCACAATTTCAGTTTGCAAGCAGCTCAGTAGGCAAATATGGATCTAGCCTGAGCTCTACAGTATACATGGGGCCAGAGAAGGAGACCGGTACCTGTTCTCTCCTGCCTGAACAGAGCATGTCCAAAGTGTGTAACCTCTTGGGGACCTGCCTTAACTTCAGGATCTTCCAAAGTCAGGCACAGAACTCCTGGCATGTTCTCCCTACAGACATCTCACAGCGATTGTGATGACCAAGGGGCCACTGGATGTCAGTACACACCTCACATGCCCCCTCTGGGGAACTATTATGTATAGAAGCTTCAGGGGATAGCTTTGGAGGACCCCAAGATGTTGTGGTCCTGCCAGGTAGGGCCCCCCCAGGGGGAATTAGGAAATGGCCTAGGGAAAGCCATCTCCTCATTGACTGACGCCATGGAGGTCGAGTGGGCAGCGCGTTGCGGCTCCGACTCCCACTAGCGCACTGACCCGGTCAGTGCATTGCAGCTTGAAGCCCTGATGACGGAGTGGCCACCTGGGCTGCCACTGCTAGGACCCTAGGCCGGGGCACAGCAGAGTGGGTGGGCCTGCATCCTCCCCCCACCACTCCCTCACTTGAAGTGGCAGGTTCCCCCTGTAGGGGAAAATCCCCTGCTCTTGTTGGCTCTCTGCTGAGCTAGGAGAGCTGACCCCCAACTCAGCCTGCAACCAGGCCTGAGCAATCAAACTGTTATACGCTGTTGTATTTGCTGCTCGGCCCTGACCTAGGGCCATGGCTGCACAACCTGGTATAGGCTCTGCATGCAGTTGCTGCCCCACCCTGACCCAGGCCCATGGCCACCCAAGTGGTCATAGACTTTAGGGGCGGTTGCCAGTGGAGTGAGTCAGCAGGGCCGCCTGCTGACTCGGACTGGTACAGTCCTACATATCAACTAGCATCACACCTAGTACTTGCTACTTCTTACTCACAAGAGCCAGAACTCTACCACATAGCAAAGATCTGGCCTTAATGAAATACAATTTACCATGTTTGCTGCGATGCAGACAGGTTTATTCCTGTCCCCTTCCTTGCCAAATAGCCACTTGAGAGGTATTGGCACAGCAGCTTTGATGACATTTGGCCAGAAGCATCAGCTTGTCCCTTTGTCTTGGAAAAACAGACGTTTCCTTTTCATTAGACTTCTCTGGAAAATACACATCAGTCGTGATTGGAGTTTAACAACTTCACATGGAATATTGTTATACATGTTTCACCCTGATCCTGTAGACCAGCAAGTTGTGAGCTTTCAAATGATACTTCACAAGGCACCTTTGATACAAAGATTATTACAATAGTCTGCAGGATGTGAATATGGGATGCTGCCCATCATTATCACCCACTAGGAGTGACACAGCGATTCTAACCCCCATCTACAGCCTGGTGCCAGTAAAGTGCACAGAAAATAGATAAAAAACAGTTTAATGTTTTAGGCTTTTATAAAAATTAAAAAGTCTCAAAGAGAAATTGGTTTAAACCATAAACTTGAAAATCCGCTGGGTGCTCACCACAATTACAAGTGATCCTGAGAAATTCATGTTGAAAAACATCCTGGAGGGAAGGGAAGCACCATTTCCTGTTCAGCTTTGTCCCACTCTATGGAATAGGAATGGTGAGTATTTTAAAAGGCTCCACAAAGACTTCACTGAAGCGAAAAAACTTTTGTGTGGGGTGCTCAGGCAGGGAAAGTTGAGGCTGGTGCTGCAGCTTTCAGCTCAAGGAAGATCCAGACTCCCTGTGTCAGGTGAGGTAGGTGGGAAAGGCCAATCTGAGCAGTTCCACTGGCAGGGAAAACAGGCAGCCGTGGGGAGAGGACGAAATGTGCAAACGACTTTTGTGGTTTCACCCAGAGAGGCTCAGAGCAGCCCCTGACACTCTGGAAAGGCTCAGGTGTGATGCTGAAGAAAGATCAGTCCAGCTTTCCCATAGCTAATTCTACAACACTCCCGTTACGAGCCTCCATCTTCTCTGTAAATACATCAGGTTTGCTGCAAATCCAGTATCGCTCCCCGGTGCATCGTGAGCTGCTGACCCCGTTCTCACTGTTCAGATACGCGCAGTCACCATCTGCCCTGATATCAAACCTGCAGGGCAGAAGCCAGGGAGCAGGTGTCAGGCAGGAGCTGGGCATTTTCCGTTGGTCACAGACAGGGGACGACACTCGCACAAGGCAGGGAGCTGCTGCATTCACAGCCCCTCAGATCCCCTTCCTGCACCAACAGCAGGCCCCAGCCCCAGCTTCCAGCCAAAGGGAACAGCTAGAAAGGGGGCAGTATGGACAGGAGAAGTTCCAAGATGAACTGACCTCCAAAGAGGCTGGATATTCTAACCTCAGTTCCTGCTCCAGCTGCAGTTGGATGGACCCCATCAGCTCCAATCTCCCCACACTGCCCCAAGTGCAGGTTCCAGGGGAGCAGCAGCACAGCAAGGAGCAGCAGTGATGCCCCAGGGAAGAGCTGGGGCAAGGCTCGCCAGGCACTTCACAGCAGCTCTCAGGCCAGATGCCCGGCTGGAAATGCTGTGCTGGGAGCAAAATGCTGAGTTGGCAGCACAAACCCAGGGGCTGTGGTGTGACCCAGCCAATCACACTGAGCTTCCCATCAGAGTTAGGGGTCTGCATGTCCACCTGGGAACAGGCAGGGTGGAGGGAAGGATCCAGGCTCACAGGTGAACCCTTCCCCCATGGTCCTATGCTGGTTATTCACTACCCAGGTGCTAGGCAGCCCAGCACTGCTCTGGGAGGCTGGGATCTCCCTGCCCCAGCACCAACTTCCTCTGGCTCAGGATGAGCTAAGATGTGTCCCAGTGAAGGGAGAACCCAGCCTCCGCCCACCCAATCATATGACAGAGGGGAGGCACCAGCACCCCCCCAGCAGAGCTCTGCAGGGACGGCAGAGATGCACCAAGAGCCTTCTGCTAGGTGGGCCCCCTAAGGGCAGTGGGTTTGAGGGTTAACACCCCATTGAGATGCCTGGGATGATTCCCCTCAGTGCTAGTGTCTCAGGCTTTCAGCTGGCTCAGGCAGGCATCATTCACTGGGGGAAGAGGGTTTGAGCCCACAGGTCTGCACTGCTAGTTTGAGCCCCACAGACTGAAGCTGGAGCCTTTAGACCAGCAGTTCCCAACCTTTTCCAGATGGGGACCCATTTTAACAATTCAGGAAGACTTGGTGACTCAGCGCAATTCAAAAATAGGGCAGAGCCAGCTGGGGAGACACTTGGTGGCCCTTTTGAAATGTCATGGCGACCCATACATTGGGAAACCCTGCTTTAGACCCAGGCTCCGAGGTTCGCTGCAGCAAATGTTTTGTGCAGTGCAGACATACCCTGAGCGCTGAGGACAGCTGCCCTATGTCTGCAGCGCAGCAGGGAGTGAGGCTCCCCCCCACAGGGCAC